CACGCACCCTGGAAACCCCTGTGGTTCTCTGAGGGGGCCGCCAGCCACTTGGCTAGCCAGGGCGAGCCGGCTCAAGGGACAGCTCACTCCCTGCTGGTCGGCAGGCTCAGGACATGCAGCCAGGTCCTGGCCTGGTGACGTGGCTCGAGATGACAGGACTCCCTCCCCTGCACTCTCGTCTCCAGCCCACAGCATGGACATCTGCAGGGTTCCTCGGGCCCTGAACATCCCAGTGCCTCTCTCAAGGCCCCGAACAACAAAGCAATGCTGGCGTTCTTTCCCCTTCCTTTGCAAAGCAATTTCGCTCAGAAACCGAGGCTTTGCACTGCGCCGCTCTGATCCTGGGGGTTCTGCTGGCATTCCCGCTAGCGAGCCGGGAGTATTTCTCTTTCCCCAGTTCCTCCGATGACAGCAGCAAGGAGCCCCAAGATCCCAGCACCACCCCCCACCCCACGGTGCCTGGCAGCTGTGGCGATTAATAAATGCTCAACGCGTGGCGGTTGCTGTTACTGCGGCCGACAATGACAGTGGGGACAAGGTGTGTTCTCAGTCGTGGGGCTGGGTCCCAGGGAACCGGGCCTCAAACCAGAACGAGGCTGGCAGGACCCTGCCTCGGGGGAGGCATGAGTCTGAGAGCTGGAGCCCGGCCGTCCCGCACGGTGGCCGGCGGCCACACCTGTTTCCGTTTAAACTCAGAGCAAGTTTACAGCACAAAACTCCACACTTCCGTCTGCAGCCGCCCACCCCGGACGGGCGCGCCTAAGTGGGGCTGGGGCTGGTTAGCACCCCGATGGGCTGGTTAGCACCTAGTTAGCACTATCGGCTGGTTAGTACCTGGCAGTACCGGGTGCTGCAGGCTTTATAAACAACAAACAACCACCACAGAGACAAAACTACACTCTCAAGCCACACTGGCCACTGTTAAGGGCTGGGCAGCCACATGGAGCTGGTGGCTACCGCACTGCACAGCCCAGAAGCGGGAACATTGTCCTCATCTCAGAAAGTGCTCCGGGAGGTGTGCTCTACATGTGTGAGTCAGGAGTTTCCACTGGACAGCTCTGGTCTCCGTGTTTAGGAGGGTGCTGCTGAGCTGGCCCCTGAGGAGGTCCTCCAGGTGGCATCTGGCCAAGGAGGAGCGAGATGGGAACCCAGGCCAGCGGGGGGCTGAGCCCAGGACTGCCACTGCCCGCTCCGAGTCCCCCAGATGCCCGCTGCCCGTGCAGCAGAAAGCCTGGCGCTCTGCTAACTGCCCCCAGGCCTCTCAGCCACTAGCCGAGCCCCTAAGGAGGGTGCAGGCTGTACCCGCGGCTGCTCCAGGCTGGGGAACCAGGTTCACTCTGAACCCTCGCGCCTGCCCGCCCGCCTCTTGCGCGGCCAGCCGTGAGTGGGCTGCACCCTCAAGCTCAGAGCTGTTCTTCTGAGAAACTCAATGCACAAACGATGACAAAACAGCCCATGGGTCCCACGCCTCCCCGGAGGCAGCACCCGCTCCTGCCACTGCAGCCGCCCTCCCCGACCCCACGCTGGGCAGCAGGACTCCGCAGTGCAGTCCACACGCCGCTGCCAGCATGAGGCTGGGCCTCAGCATTCTCTGGGCCACCGTGAGTGGCAGGCGGTGGGCTCCCCCACAGCCGAGAGTCCTCAGCTGTAGCCCAGACACAAAGGTACCGAAGTGGCCAAAGCAAAGACAGCGTCCTGGGCTGACAGGACAGGAAGGACACGTCCTGTGCGGTAGCTTGAGCTGCGCGTGGCGGCACGGGAAGTGCAGCTGTTCCTAAAACGAGCGCATTGGCCCTCGTCCGGCCAACACCCATCGAGACAGGCGCAGGAAGAGCAAGGAGCAGGCAGCGGGTCCCAAAAGCCTCCAAAAAACTTTAATGCGGACGTGTGGGTGGTGCCCACGTGCCAGGGGACTTGTCCACCCTGCAGGGCTGAGCTGGAGCGCTACGCGGTTGGGGGGTCCCCGGCGGACCTCCCAGGCCCCCCGACCAGCCAGCCCAGGGCCTGCCTGCAGGCTCGCCCTTACCGCAGCTCCGGGGGGGCCAGGGCTTTGCGGGGCCGGCCCCTCTGGTCGACGGCAGCTTCTCCGGCAGCTCCTCCGGCCGCAGGGAGCTCCAGGCAGGGTCCGGTGTGGCTGGCGCCCCGGGTGAGCTGGGAGACACACGGGCACACGCATGAGCAGAGGCGGCACGTGGAGGAGGCAGGGGGCGGGGAGATCTGGGGCGGGTGCAGGGCAGCCCCCACGCTCGGCAGGAGTCTGGCCTCCCGTGGCCTGAAGCAGCCTGAGACCCACAAGCAGGCCCCAGGGGCCAGCAGGGCAGCGGTGAGCAGGTGGCTCCTGGACCCTTGTGGGCACCGCCACCCCCCAGGCCCTGGGAGTGCCCAGCAAGGCTCGGAGCTGCTCCCTGGTCCCCGTCTCTAGGAGCTGCATCCTTGCTGGGCACACACCTCTTGCTGTGTCTCTGCAGCCTGCACGGGGCTGGAGGGGCGGGGGACACAGCCAGTGCAAGGCCCCAGGCGGGACACTGCTGTGGGACACCCCCCCCACCCACCCCCAGGCCATGCCCTCTGCCCTGCGGGCTGCACCAGGACACCGAGACCTCCGTGCCAGGGTCTGGTCCTGTGGGCGGATCCGACTGGTCCACCTGGGAGCCTGGGCACGGAGCTCGCCCCGCCCCCCTCTCTCAAGGGCTGGGGGAGGGGTGTGGGCAGAGAAGGACACGGCCAGGCCGGTGCCGCCCCCTCCTGGCCAGGACAACGCAGCTCCACCTGACCGGCCTGAGCCTGGGCAGAGGGCAGGTTGGAGGGCGGGATGGGGGTGGTGGTGGTATCTGGCACCCCTAGGACCTGACACAGGTGCCCAGACCCCTATCCCCTGAGGTCACGGGGGCTTCAGGAGAGAAGGGTGATGGGGTTTCTGGGGCCGGCAGGGCGGCTTCGGGCTGGGGACGTGTCCCAGCGGAAGGGGGCATGTCAGGCTCCCTCTCCCCAGCCGTGGGGAAACTTCGGCATCAGAGAAGCAGCCCCCTGCGTGGCTTCTGAGAGTGACGGCGCCCCGACCGCAGTCCCCACCGCCGCCCTTGCTCCACACCTGCTCTCACTGCGCCGGGCAGAGGCCGGGCTTCTAGACCGCCGCCGGCCTCTCCTCCGGACACCGCCTCCCCCAGCTTCTGGGTTTGCGAGCCGGGGTCCCTTGGCTTCCTGGGGCTCCCGCCCTGGGTGCTTCAGTCTGAGGACAGGGAGGCGAGAGAGGCCCTGCGTCGCAAGCTCGCTCAGGGCCCCGGGAGGGCGGGCTGGCGGGGGTGGGGACCAGGAGGGGCTGCTGGCCCCGGGGAGGCCTGGGCGAGGAAGGGGAAGCCAGGCCGTGCAGGTGATGGGGTGGAGGGATATTTGGGGGCTTCGGAGGGGAGTTTTTCAGGGGAGGAACCCCGAGCACGTTCACCAGTCCTGCGCTACGGCAGCTGCTAAGTGGAGCTCAGACACCGCAAGGCGGCAGCTCTTTAGCGCTGACCGACCTATGCGGCAAGCACCTGACTCGGTGTCCGCCTGCAGAGCCCCCCCGTGGGCGAGACTTCCTGGCTCCACTGCCACCCAGGTCAGATGGGGCCGCAGGGCCTGGACGGGCAGGGGACCGCCAGAGTCGGCGTCCCCTGCACAGCCTGCCAGCAGCCATGGAGACAGACGCCAGCGTGTCCCAGGGTGCAGAGCCGGGCGAGGAGTATTTGCCGGGAAAGGTGTTCTGGGGGCTCGTCACCCCGCAGCAGGGAGCTCAGGTTGTGGTCCACGGCTCACAGCCTGTCCGAGAGCCACTGCCGCCATGTGGCTTCCCCCGCCCGGCTGGCCCGAGAGCTGTGACGCTGCCCGGCTACACCCAGAGCCCTGCCCTCAGCCCCCGCCAGCACGGGAGGGAGATGCCCGGGGGGGGGGAGGAGGAGGATTTTTTTTTTTTTGAGACAGAGTCTCACTTTGATGGGCGGGCCGGGGTGGGGCCCGGGGGGGGGGGGGGTCGTCCGTCAGTCAGTCCCGGAGGGCTCAGGGCGCAGCCAGAGCCCGAGGGGAGCGCGCGGCTCACCTCCCCGAAAGGGTGCCGAGGGCCTGGAGGGGGGTCACGCTCCTCTGCAGCCTGGTGTCCTGCTCCTCCTCTCGTGGCTCCTTCGTGAAACCTTTGGGGGAAGGGCAGAGCTGGCAGGAGGGAAGGAGCCAGACCCACCGCAGGAGCATCTGAGCTGGGCCGGACACGGCCCCTCTGCGGGAGGCAGGGCAGGGCAGCGGCTGGCGCGGGGGCAGCCTCAGGCCCCTCCGGCCAGAGGACTAGGCAGTGAGGACAGGGCTGGCAGAGAGGGCCAGCACGTGTCACCCTGAGACGCCCCGGACAGTTCCCACGCTGTTGTTCTCATATGCCCCTTTCCGAAGAGTAAACCCAGAGCACAGGGAAATGGGGTCCTTGTTGCTCCAGCCCACGGGGCCCCTCGGCCGCAGGTCGTCCGTGGCCTGGGTGCCAGCCCCACCTGCCAGCTTCCCCTTGGCGCGGGCCGTCGGGTGCTCCCTCTGCGGCGTCTCCCCGTCCAGGAGGTAGGTGGGGGACAGAAGGGGCCGGAGCTGCATGTCCACCCAGTCCTGGAGCGCCCCTCTGCCCCCGCTGGGCACCAGGGTTCCAGAGCGGGCTGGCGCGGCAAGCATGGGGGCAGCAGGCTCGGAGCTGGGGTGCGAGGGCCACAGGTCCAAGGCCAGGTCTGGGACGGCGTCCAGCACCTCGGGCCCATGCAGCTTGGCGGTGAGGCTGTCAACCCGCCGCTTGAGGACGTTGGCCGTGGTCTCCAGGGCCTGCAGCCGCGCCTGCTTGTGCTCGATGTTCAGGGGCCCGGGCATGCCGAGGTGCTCGGCCTCCTGGGGGTCCAGGTAGATGCACAGCCCCCGGGGCAGGTCCCGGAGCTGCAGGTTGCCGGAGGAGGAGGAGGCTGGCGGCAGCGGCAGAGGGGCTCCGGCGTCCCGGCGGTCCTGGGGGCCTCTCTTCGGCTTCAGGGCCGCAGCGTGGCTGCAGGCTCTGTTCAAACACAGGCAGAAGCTGCAGGGAGAGAAGCGTGCGCCGGCTCAGTCCTGGCGGCGTGTGCACAGCACGCGTGCACGGGGATGAGCTCTGTGGTGGCATCTGTGACAGCCCCGGTGGCTGTGCCCACGGGGACCAGGAGTGCCACCGCATCTGCACGGCAGGACACATGCAGCCGCCGTCAGGAACGGGGAGCAAGCGTGGGCTGGGTGGCAGGGAACCGCCTGGCAGGTCCACAGGGAGTTAAAGACAGAATTGTCACTCGAGCTGGCAGTCCCACTTCTGGGTCCCAGATGGACCGCAGCAGGGACCCGGAGAGCTATCTGTGCACCCGGCTTCCTGGCAGCCTGGTCCACATGGGCCAACCGAGGCGGCAGCCTCAGAGCCCACCAGGGGAGCACCGACTCACGCTCCCCCACGCCACGCGGGACGAGCCGGACAGAAAGGCCCATCCCGTGAGATTCTGCTCACGGGAGGCCCCCGGAGGCGACACATCCACAGAGACATGAGGCAGAACGGGGGGTGCCTGGGCTGAGGAGGGGACGGGGAGTCGGTGTTTCATGGGGACAGCGTCAGTGTGGGAAGATGGGAAGGTTCCGGAGGGGATGGTGGTGATGGCCGCACAGTGCTGCAAATGTGCTTAGCGCCACGACCGGTGCGGCTGAGAATGGTGAAGGCGGTAGACGTTGAGTTACGGCGTGTCTTAGCGCCGCTGTGGAGGGGCACGATGAGGTGAGAGAGGGACCCGCAGCCTCTGGGGACCATGGGGACAGACCCCGGCCGCTGCTGGGCCGAGGAGCCGGCTGGGGCTGCCTGGGGGCTGTGGGTGGCCTCAGCCTGGGTGGGGTGCAGGGTGTGCTGGGAGTGTGGGCGATCCCTTAGCCGCACACGCGTGACCCACCGTCTGGGCTCACTGGGGGCGCACAAATGCAGACCGGAGTCTCCGGCTGCCGTCCTGGGACAAGCACTTTCAAGGCAGAATGAAACAACAGGGACCAAAGAGAGGAGCCGGGGGCCGGGAAAGGGGTGTCCTGCAAAGGCCCTGGGAGCTGAGCCCCTGGGGGCGGGGGGTCAAGCTGCAGCCCCTCCCCCAGCACCAGCTGCCAAAGATGCACCGAGGAAGCCCCCACTCCGGCCCCCCAGCCAGCTCCCCGCCCGCCCAGGCCCCCAGCTTCGAGGCAGGTGGTGGGAATGGGGCCCGGTGACTGAGGGGCTGCCACTGGGCTGGGGCCCGCCGTGGCACCCCTGGAGCCCTTCCCGGCGGGAGAGAGAGCTGGGAACAGGGGCCCCTCTCGAGGCCCACGCTGACTCCCCAGCAACGTGGAGATGGGAGGTCTGCAGACCCCCCATGCCTCGGCGCTTCCAGGGGAGGGGCCTGTTCGGTTAGAACACACAGCAGTGGAAACACGACAAGATGGAAACAGAGAAGAGAAACGGGAACGTGTTGGCAAGGATGCGGAGCCCCCGGAACTCTCACGCATGGCCGGGAGGCGTGAAATGCCGCGGCTGCGGGGAAGACGGTCCGGAAGTGCCTCCCTGCGTCACGCGTGGGGCTGCCACACGGCCTGGCCGTGCCACCCCCAGGCACCTACCCGGGAGACAGAGAGACAGGCGTCCCCGCAAGGGCAGGGCAGCCACGCCCACAGCAGCGTTACCCGAGCTGCCGACAGCGGGAGCAAGCCGTGTCCATCAACATGCGAGCGCATGGACAAAACGCAGTCTGTCCTCAGAGCAGGACGCTATCCGGCCGTAAAGGAAGCGGAATTCCCACACGTACGCTCCGCAAGGAAGACAGGCCCGACCTCTGACCCCACTTATGTAAAAGGTCAGGAACAGGCAGATCCAGATCAGATCACCTGTGGGGCACCATTGTGGGGTGGCGGGGGGGGGGAACCCCAGAATGTGCTGCCCTGGCCCCGCCCCCACCCTGCTCCCGGCAGTGCAGCCCCCGCCCCTCACACCCACCTGTCCGGGGCCTCCTGGTCCCCCAGCACCACGCCGGACGTCACCTTGCTCCACTCCAGCCCTGGTGACTCCCGGCTCCCAGGGGCCTCCGGGCCCTAAAGTAGGGGAGGTGCAGTCAGGACCCCCTCCCCCAGTGCCAGAAGACCCCAGAGCCCCATCCTTCAGCCTCGGAGCTGGGCCCTGGCCTCCACCAGGGGTCTCAGGCTGACTCCTCAGGGCCTTGCAGGGAATGGGGGGGTCCCTGCTTCAGCGGCTGTGACAGAGCTAATAGGGTCCCCTCCGGGGCACCGGGGCACCCAGGGTGGCAGGTGTTCAGGGACGGCTTGGGCACAGCCAAAGGGAAGCAAGCTCTGCGGGAACATCCCCAGGGCAAAGGTCCTCCTGTGCCCCTCGCTGGGGGCCCCCAGGGGAAGCGCCTGGTGACGCATGCCTTTCCAACAGGCCTGGGCTGCAAGGCCACCTGGACCCGGGCCCGTCCCAGCCCCCGCCCCCGGCCACACCCTCCCTCCACCCACTGCCAGCGGGCGCCCGGGGTGGCGGGCAGTAGCCAGGGGCCTAACCCAGAGCTGAGCACCCACCTGCACCCACCCCGGCACGTACCCCAGACTGCGTGGATCTGGGGACAAAGGTCACGATGGTGGGGGAGGTCTGGGACACCATGGGGATGGCCCTGCCGAGGACGGCCTCCCGCTGCTTCCGGTACACCTCCCGCAGCCTCTGCTGCCGCTGCCCCTGCGCCTGCGCCTCGGAGGCCTTCTCCTCCAGGGCCTGCCGCCGCCGCGCCTGCGCCTTCTGGCGCATGAACTCCTGCAGGGACTCGGAGCTGTGCTGGTGTCCCGGGAGCCCCCGGGGCCTCGGGCTGGGTGACCTGTCCTTCCTCCCTGGCGGGTTCTGCGGGAGGCTCCGCGAGGGCCCCTGCCAGGCGGGCCTGGCTCCCAGGGCGGGGGAGACGGAGCCTCCGCCCGAGCTCGGGGCTCCGGCCCTCTGCTCCCAGGAGCTGCTCCAGGGCCACCGGGTGGGGGACTTCGGCCTTTCCAGAGGGCTCCTCGGCCTGGGGGCAGGGGCCTCACGGTCTTCACAAGCTGCCCAGGTCCTCTGCGGACAGGCCCGCCCGGCCAAGGAGCTCCAGGGCCTCTGGGGCGAGGGGCTCAGCTTCTCAGGGCGGCTCCCGGGCCTCTGGAAGGTGGCACAGCGTCCTTGGGCCGCCCAGGCCCTCTGCGGACCGGAGACCTGCCTGGTCGAGGTGCTGCGGGGCCGCAGAGAGGAGGAGCCCAGCCGCTCAGGGGGGCTCCCGGGCCTCTGGAAGGAGGGGTCCTGTCCTCGGGCCGCCCAGGCCCTCTGCGGACGGGAGGCCTGCGCGGCAGAGGCACTCCAGGGCCGCTGAGAGAGGTGATCCCACCTGTCAGGGGGGCTCTCAGGTCTCTGGAAGGAGGAGTCCTGTCCTTGGGCTGCCCAGGCCCTCTGCGGACGGGACTTCCACCTGGCCGAGGTGCTCCAGGGCTGCCAGGCGTGGAAGCTCGAAGACCTCACTAAAGAGGAGGACGTCCCCTCTGCCGAGGCCCCGGTACTCTTGTAGGAGGAGCTCTGTGCCCCCGGGGCACCCCGGGGACCCTGCCCCGTCCTCCCTGCCCCGTCCTGCAGCCTCGACTTCCTCCATCCCTTGGGGCCCTGGGCCAGCTCCAGCCCGGCCTGGATTTGCCGGCGCAGGTCCCGCAGGATGGCCATGGCAGTGTGGATCGTCGCTGGCTGGTCGAAGGAGGACAGGCTGGGCGTGTTGTCAAACGCCGCCGGCCTGGCAGACACAGGGCAGGGCGGCCGGGCACGGACAGGTGAGCCCTTCATGGCTGCAACTTTCCTGCTGTCCCCTGCAAAGACAGCAGTCACAGGGCATCAGGAGCTGCCAGCCGCAAGGGAAGAGCTGGGAGGAAAGCCAGCTCCTGCTCCCAGAGGGGTGGCCCGGGCGGTGGCCAGAGGCCCTCTGAGGGCAGGTGCTGCGTCTGGGCGGCCAGGCCGTGCCGGGCACCTGGCATGGAGCCCCCGATCTGGACACTCGCCAACGGAGCGTGTATGGAAGGGGGGCCCTGCCAGCCCCTTCCTGCACGCTCCCATGGAGAAAGCCTAGTGTCATGCCCTGCCCCAGCAGCTGACCTGGGAGCCTCATGGCGACAGAAACCCTCTTCTCAGGCTTTAAAAACACTGATTTCCCAGGTCGCTGCTGGTGGCTGGTGTGGAGGGTGCCCGGCAGGCTGCCGGGAGAGGCGCCAACACCCCTCCTTCCCGCTGGCGTGGGGGCCCGGGTGCTTCCTCCCCTTGTGCCCACCCCCAGGAGCCACAGCCAAGCAGGACGGGCCCTGGCAGAGGCACGAGGTACCTAATTCCACAGCGAGGGCCGGGTCTCTGGAGCGCGCCTGGCTCTGGGGCCTGGGGAGGGCGGGAGGGGGCCCCAGCAGCATCCTCACCAGGGCTTGTCCTTTTCTCCAGCCGTAAACACCGACCGGCTCGGAATCTTAAACAGAGAAAACACACGGGCACAGCGGGGCACGCTGGCCCAGACGGGGAGGTGGGTGGTTGCACACAGCCCTGGGAGACCACGTCCCACGCTCCTGGAGGGACCAGGGTGGAACCCCTCCTGTCCAGGCCCCTGCGGGGCGGAGCCGGACTCTCTGCCCCGGCCAGCCTGGGGCAAGGCTGAATCTCAGGGTGACGGCGAACAAGCGGCTTCTCTGACCCGCAGGCTCTTCTTCAGTAAGCCGAGGGTAATGAACGCTGCCCCTCCAGCTTCGTCCGCAAAGCGCTCTTCACAGGCCAGGCGCGGCACACGCGCAGGAAGTGCTGGCCGCGGCAACAGCACTAGAGTGATGGGCCAGCAGCCCTGCAGCCACCGCACACGCAGGGCTCAGCGTGGGGTAGGAGGCCGTGCCGGCGTTGCGCGCGTGCGCCGAGCCCGGGGAAATTAATCTGTTTTTAAGCTGGAGAGAGTCGGCTGCTGCCGACAGCGGTGGGATCGATGAAGACTCCCAGGCTGGCAGGACAAGGGGTCCGGACGTTGCGGAAATGAACGATCCGGCACCCCCCAAGCACAAATGAGCGTTCTTTAATAAACGCCGTCACATAATAAACACCATTTATCACGGTTTTACTTCATAATCCCAGGTTAGATTACACCCGCCAAATGCCAATACTGGCCCCGCCGTCGTGACAAACCTGTCCACAAGGGCCTCAGCAAAGGCGGGAAGCAGAGGCCGGCCTCCAGCTCACATATGTGCGCGCACATACACGAACACACGCACACACACGCACACACAAGTGCCGCACCAGGTCCAGCTGGCTCTGCATGGCCGGGACCCCCTGCCACGGGCCCCGGCCCCTCCCATGCACCTTCCTGGGGCCAGCCCAGGGCGGAGCCGCTGTGTGGCTCCCACTATGTGGGAGCAAGACGGCCACGCAGCCTCAGCCAGGACGTGCCCTCGATTTCTGCAAGTGAGAGCGCTGGGGAAGGGACTGTCCAGGGAGCTGACCACCGGGGCAGGCCCCAGACTGAACCGGGCACCTCCCTAGCATGCCCCCAGGCTCAGCACCCTCCTCACACTGCCCTGACCCCGCCACCAGGCCAGCCGCAAGCCTGAAGCTCTCTCCAGAGGGGGAATGGGCCACGCAGAGTGCACCCCTGAACCACGCTGGCCCCAAGTCTCCTGGGACAGGACTGTAAGGCCATGCCTACCAGGATAGGGTCCCAAGGCCATGCCTGTGGCCACGCCCACTTTAAGACTGGAACCCCAAGGCCACACCCACATGGCCACACCCACTTTGGGCTATCACCCAAGGTACCCCCTTACGGGCCACGCCCCCTGCAGGACAGGCTCCCAGGGCCATGCTCTCCCAGGCCACGCCCACTTTCGGACAGGGCTCCAAGGCCACGCCCACTCTGGGACAGGATCCCCAAGGCCACCCCCACCCAAAGGTTAAGAGTGTGGTCTCAGAAACCCCAGACTGGGGTTAAAGTCTGGCTCTGCCTCTCATCAGCTATGGGCCTGGGGCAGTCAGGTCCCCGTGGCTCAGTTTCCCCATGTGTAAAACAGGCAGAGAGCAGTCACTGGGATTACAGGAGCACAGGCTTGGGATGGAGTCGAAGGCCAGAGCTGAGGCCAGGGGGCTCAGGGGTGGGTGGGCTCGGGGTGGGCCTGGGCAGCCTGGGCAGGGGGCAGGCCCGGTGGGGTCGGGTCCACAGCAAGGGCCCCGTCCTAGCCCTGTAGCTGTTCCCCCACGCAGAACTGGCCCCGTCCCTCCCGGGGCCCCTGGCAGGGCCTGCCCACGCCGGCCCCCATCACCCGCCACTCAGCCTCCTCATTAGCCCGCCACAGGGGCCTCGGTCGATGGATGGGTCCTGATGGGCACATTTTTCCTCCCGCTGAGCGGTTTAATGGCAATTAATTCTTTTACGAGGGGATTTTTAATCTGCGGAAACGGATGAAGTCCCCAAGTGCCCTGTCAGGGTCCAGGGCAGCCTAATCTATGATAAAAAATGCAAAGCGGGGTGGTATGATCCGAAATTAAATATCGGGCTTCATTTTCCTCCTGCCCGGATGGATGAATATTTTATAACCATTGCGACTTAATTTTTTGTTAACTACAGCAAATTTCTAATTCATCCAATTCCCAAGTCCGGCGGCTCTGACCTCTGAACCCAAACTCATCTCTCCTTAGTGCAGCTGTGACTTCCGCGTGACAGGGACGGATGGTGGACACCGCCAGGGTGACGCGGCGGTTAGATGATGAATGTGGCCCCTGGCACGGCCTCTGACCCCGTGTCAGGCAGAAAGCAGGTCATTTTTCAAGCAGGACATTAAAATAAAACAAACCGAGAGCCTGGGGGAGGGAGGAGACGGCCATGCAGAAAATCGTCGTATTTTATGTGTTCGCAGGGGCCTTCCGGAACCTTCCTTGCGCCTCCCGGCGTCCCTCCCCCTTGGGTCCCAGTGTGGGTTTTTCTTCCTGCATCACCCCTGGCCCAGCTGAAAACACACGTCTGACCCCGGCCAGGCGGCCCTGCCGAGCCCCGCCCCACGTGAGTCCCCGAGAGCCCGCAGAGGAGGCAGGCCCTGGTTCCTCCCCGCGGGCACCGCTGCTCTGCCCCAGGCAGGGCAGTCTGACGGTGCTGGGCAGTGACGGGCATTGGTGCGGGCGAAACGCACACCAGCCACTGCCTACCCCACGGTCCCGGGGCTGAGGTCGCAGGCAGTGTGGGGAAACTGAGTCATGGAGCGTCACAGGGGCAGCTCCCACACTGCGCCCTGGCTACCCCTGCTGCCCACGCTTAGATTAGGGGTCCCACAGTGCTGACAGCCCAGTCGGTACTGTCCTCCCCGCCTGGGGGGCTCTTGGTGGTGTCCCCTAAACCCCATGGTGTGGGTGTCCCAGAACCCAGGCCGGGAAGGTGGGCCTTGACACGGTGCCCAGGTGTGGTGCCAGGTACACACGGCCGGGCTCTCAGGTCAGGAGCACAGGCCTGGAGCCCAAGGGCAAGGCCCAGCCCCGGCGCTGCCTGTGCGGCCAGGGGCAGGCTGTCCCACCTCCCCAGCCTCAGTTTCCCCATCTGCGGAATGGGAGCACACCGCCTGCCTCGGGGAGCTGTGGGCATCCGTGAGCTAAATAAAGCCCACGGAGCGTGTGGCACCCACCTCGGGCGCTGAGCAGCCCCACCCTGACCTGGAAGACGAGCCAAAGGACAGGTCCGGAGGGATTCCGCCGCCTCCATCCCATCTTTGCCCGCGGCCCCAGCCAGCCCTTGCCTGGGGTGGATGGCCCAGCCCGGGCCTGTCCCACTGGCCCCAAACCTGCAGCCAGGCTGGGCAGCGGAGTCTCGGCAAGCCTGCCAGGTCCTTAGGGAGGACACGCCTGAGTCAGAGACTCCTCTGTGACCGCCGGCTCACGACCGACAGGACACTCAATACAACTCTCGGGGACACGTCTATGAAATTAATCGCCACGCAAATGCCAGCTGACTTGCAGCCCCGGGTGACCGCTCCGAGTCCCCAAAGCTGCTGCACAGAGCAGGAGCCACCCGGGGCCTTTTCCTGCCCCCACATGCTCTGGTGAAAGTAGATGCTGTGGGCTTGTCCCTGCCCAGGCTGGACAGGCCACCTCGCTCCCTCGACCAGTGGCTCAATGGCTTGCCTAGTGACACCACCTAGTGACACCACCTAGCAACACCACGCCTAGCGACACCACGCCTAGTGACACCACCTAGTGACACCACCTAATGGAAAGCACACGCCTCGCTCAGCCAGGCCCCAGTGCTGCCACCGCACGCCGGCCCTGCCAAACACCTGTGGACGCTCTGAGGAGCGGCCAGCTGCCAGCATGGGTGGCAATGCGGCCGGACGGCCTCCTGTCCTTACAGCCTCGCCCAGTCGAAAGGACAGCTAACAGCACCTGGCGGCGGGTGGACTCTCACTTTGTCGCCAGGGACACCCCTCCGCCCAGGAAGGAGCCACCCGCTGCCCCAGCGGTGGCCAAGGTTGCCGGTTGCCCGGGACACTGACGCTGACACCCAGGCCAGGCCCCCGTGCACGCAGCGGTCCAGGTGGCCGCTGGCAGCTGGCCGGCCCGGCACCAGCAACGGAGCCATCTGCCCACCTAGGGAGCTGAGACCATCAACCTGTCCCCAGCCCGGCCAGGGCCACAGCGAGCTGCCCTTACCTTTGTCTTTGGCAGCTCTTCGGGAGGTGGGCAACTTGGGGGCCTTCTGCCTTTTGCTAGAGCTGTTTGTGACCCTTTTGGCTTTTCCCCTTAGTGCTTCGGCTGAGGAGAGAGGCGGGAAGGGAAGGCGGGAAGGTGAGTGTTGGGACACCACAAGGCACCTGCCACGCAGCTACACACGCTGCCCGTGGAGCAGTGCCACTCGCGGCCCCGCTCCTGGCCCTGCCCCCTGGCCCCGCCCCCTGGTGCCGGGGTGGGCAGCTGGGTGCAGGGACCAGGGAGCCACGCCTGTTGCATTACCCCCCCCACCCGTGCTGCCTGGGGGACGACAGCCACTGGGGACCCCTCTCCAGGGGCCGAGCACGCCACCCCTCCTTCCTGGCACACAGGTTCCCTCCCGGGTGCTGGTGGCCACCGCTCCAGGCCCAGCCTCCCGCCTCCACGTCCCAACACCCAGCTTGAGGCCTGGGCCTCGGGTGCCACCACTGTTTGCTGAGTGAATGAATGACTGAAGGAGACCAGGTCTGAGCGAGCCCAAGGCGTGGGGCCGGCCACACTGAACGTCACTCAGGCCGGGGGAGGAGGAGCCAGGGCTGAGTGTGGGGGGGGGGGCTTGGCACTGTGAGGTCCCCCCTCTGGCTGAAAAAGAGGGGGGAAACAGAGATGCCCGAGAGGGGCAGAGTTTCCCCGAAGTCCTGCAGCCAGCACAGCGGCCAACCGAGTGGACTGGCTCCCCGAAGCTCCTGGTCACCTCTCCTGGGCTGATTGACCTCCTGGTCCCTGTGCGCTGCGGGGGAGGGGCTGCGTCCGGAAAGCACCAAAGAGCCAACCAGACAGCAAGCTGCGTGGCGCGAGGGGGGCTGCGCCCGCCGTGTCCCGTGGGCGTCCCCCGGGCCGGGTGCGTGGAAGAGGGCTCTGGCCCCCAGGGGTCTCCAGGCCTCCAGAAGGCACTCAGCCCAGGCTTTGGCTGGTCACTCGGTTACCCGGGTCCCAACTCTGCCAGCAGGAGGCCCTGGCGCTCCCAAACGATGCCACTTACGGGGTCCCTGGAGCCATCGGACCCGTAGGGATGGGGGAAAAAGGTGGGTGCAGGGTGGGGTGGGGGTGGGGAGGGAGTCAGTGCTTCGTGGGGACAGCGGCAGGCGGGGGAGACAGAACGTTCTGGACAGGAGGGTGGTGATGGCTGCACAGCGTGGATGTGCTCAATGCCACGTCCTGCTTCTGGAAGGTTCTGAAACTAGGAGCATGAAGACCGGGAGACTGCCAAGAGCCAGCGACCATGGGCCTGCAGCTGAAGTCCCTGGGTGACCAATCGCAGGGCCCTAAACTTGACTGATGGACGCTGGCAGCCTCCCCGGGGCAGGGACAGTGACGAGCTGACGCCACGGGGGTCCTCCTGGGAAGAGGAGGGGAGACTCGGGAGCACTCGCCGGGAAGCACAGTGGATCGGGGACGGCGGGGGCTGCCACGGTGGGGAGCAGCTGTGGGTGTGGGGCAGGCCAGAGTGGGGCTGGGTGGGGTCTGCCTGGCTGTCAGTCGGCCAGGCCCCGTCCCTGCCAGCGTCTGCACCTGGCACACTCGTCGCACGGGTACGACACGCCCAAACGCATGCCTGTGGCTGCTGCCCAGCGCGGCCCCCCACTGGAGCATGACCTTTGCCCTCCACCCCGCCTGCCCCTGGGTGGACGATGATTGCTCCCTGGACAGGCCCATGGGCCTGACTCGCCCCTCATGCACCCCCCAAGGAGAGCCACACTCTTCCCCCTGCTCCACTCTCTGAGAACCAGAATCCCCGGGCGCCGGGGCAGCCCTGGAAACTCCTCTGCTCCCAAGCCCCCTCCCCGCCATCGAGGGCCTCCAAAATCTCACAGGAGATCTTGTCTCTCTGGACTGCCGAGACAGACCCGTCCACCTGTCCCTCGCCCTGCAACAGATTGCGCCTGCCCAAGCCAAATGCATAGTCTCCCCATGCCAGACGGCTCCCGCCACTCAACATCCTCCCCTTGCCATCCGACAAATGAAGGTGCGAGCAAAACCTGGGGTGCCCTGGGCCCTGCCCCGCCCAGGAAGTCTGCAGACCCGAGGCTGACCCTTCCACAGTGCCCAGGCAAGGCAGGGCATCTGCAGCTGGGTGGGACCGGGCAGGGAAGACCTTGCCCATCTTGGCAGAACTCTCAGCAGGGAGACGCCCTGCCCAGCTCCCTGCCCTTGAGGCCTGCCTGGATTCCTTCCCCGCCACCAGCACCCAGCGGGGAGGCAGAAGGTGAGAACACAGGCTCCTGAGGACAGCGGCTGGCTCCAAATCCCCACTCGGCCCCTTTCCAGTAAGGTCCTCTCTGACCCTCAGTGTCCTCGTTTAGGAGTGGGGCTCAGCATGTGCCGTCCACACCTCGGCCTGAGCATCCAGATCCAGCCTGGTGCACCAGGACGGCCGACACAGGACCGCCCACCCGACACCTGGTGCTGGGAGATCCTGGAAGGCTTTGGTCCCCGCTGGGGGGACACCTTGTCTTCAACTCTGCGCTCAGCCGCACCCGGGATGCCGGAGCCTGGAGCTGAGTGGATGGAGGGGCGGTGCGGGCAGAGACTCCAGGAAGAATTTCCAGGAAAAAGTCCCAGTTCGGCAGCACTCAAAGGCCTCTAAATAGCAATCTGGGATACACGGCGAGGTGGCTCATTCTGTAAATCTAGCACCTCTGAGAGGCTGAGGCGGGCGATATGCTCGAGGGCAAGGAGGTTAAAACCAGCCTGAGCAAGAGTGAGACCTGTTTCTACAAAATAAAGAAATTAATGGGCCAACTATAATAGGATAGAAATTAGCGGCGTGGCTAGCGCCACTCGGCTGTAAGTACCAGCTATTCCGGCAAAACGACAGTCTGGCAGGCAGGAGGGATTGCTTGAGCCAGGGAGTTTGAGGTTAGCTGTGAGTAGATCGTTGACGCACGGCACCTCGCACGTCTAGCCTGGGCAACAAAGAGACTGCTGTCTCGATAACAAAAAAGAAAGAAAAAGAAAAAGAAAAAGAAGATTAGCTGGTATGGCGGCGCATGCCTGTAGTCCCAGCTACCTCGGAGCTTAGGCCAGAGGATCGTTGACCAGGAGTTGAGTTTGCTGGTGAGCTAGGCTGATGCACGGCACTCCCCTAGCCTGGGCAACAAAGTGAGACTCTGTCTCAAAGAACAAACAAACAAAAGAAACAAAAAAGAAACGGTCATGCAACTCCTCTGGTATAGTCATGAGGGTGCGCATGCCCTGTATTCCCACATTTACCATCGGCCAGATTAGGCAAGCGCGTCCGCTTGGCCCAGGAGTCTGAGTTGGTGTGAGCAAGGCTGACGCCACGGCACTCACTCTAGCCTGGGCAACAAAGTGAATCTCGCGTGTCTCTAATAATGGATAGAATAATAGATAGATAGATAGATAGCAGATCCGCCCAACATCCCCACCTGGGTGCACCCGGGGGACCACCCCGACCAGCGACTCGCTCAGCCGGGCGTCTCATCTGGATGGCGGTATCACCACACCCGTGGCGAGCGGGCTCTGTGGTTTGGACCATGCAGCTCGGGAAAGCGGGTAACAACACACGTCAGAGCCCACTTTTGCAAAGAGAAGGGACGACGTGAAGTGTCAGCAGGGGCGACTCGAGGGGAGGGGGCACGGGAAACCGCGACGGCTTTCACTCACTCTCTGCGCTCACCCGTACTTTCCCCAAACCCATTCTGCCGTAGAAACGGCCACAGAGGACAGGCCTGCGTGATGCCACTCACGGGAGGTGCCCAGAGACAGGAGGTGGGACCGTGGGCGCCAGGGCTGGGGGAGTCAGTGCTTCCTGGAACAGGATCAGGCTGGGGAGACGGAAGGTTCTAGAGAGGGAGGGTGCCGGCAGCTGCACAACACTGTGAACGTGCTTAATGCTGCCGGTGCATTTGATGCTGCTGTTTTGCCAGGATTTTTTTAAAAGCAGAAGTTGTTATCTCACAAATAAATAAAGGAGGAAAAAAACCACCTCCCCTGCCTCCTTGGGAAGAGTGAAGTTCCTGGACAGGGGACTAGGTCTCCGCCTCTGCCCCAGCAGTCCAGGTATTTAGAAACCTTGTTTTCTGAGAGACAGGGTCTGGCCCTGTGGCCCAAGCTGGGGTGCAGTGACAGGACCACGGCTCGCGGCAGCCGCCCAACCCCGGCCCACCAGAGTGCCGGGACTGCACCTGGCCCAGGAGCCTTTTAAGTTGCCACCCCGGGCCTGCCCCCCCAGGGCCAGGACACTCGGGAGGGAAGCAGATATGACTTGGGGTCCCTGCCGGCTTTTCAGGGCGCTCCCGACCTGAGTCCCCGCAAACCTGCCGCTTGCCTGCTGACCTCTCGTGCAGCCCTCCAGGCCAGGGACCGGGGTCCTCTCGCCCACCCGCAGGCCCTCCGTGGCCCCCAAGCCACCCGCCTCGTTCCACGGCTCCCAGCCGTCCCCACCGACGCGTCAGATCATCCTCATCCTGAACCCCCGTGGTGGCCTCTGATCCCCGCCTTGGGGGCCCGCCGCACACGCATGTACTCCCGTGCACCCAGCACGGCCGCCCCCGCCCCCACCAGCAAAGCTGCCACTGACCTGGGTGCGGGGGGGCTGGAAGGGCGTTTGTCACCTTGCGGCTCTTCCTCCTGAGTGCCTTCGAGGGCGCTTTGCAGAAGCTGGAGGCGCTGGACGGCTCCGTGGTGTCCAGCGAGGCGCAGCTGCCCTGCCAGTGCACCTGCGCCCGGATCTTGTCCTTCAGCCGCTCCAGCCGCGGGTCGCTCCTCCTGGGCAGCCGCTGGGGCCGCCGCGCCTGGGGCGGCCTCTCCTGCCAGGGCCCTCGGGAAGGCTCGCAGGGCTTGTGGCCCCCCGAGGAGCCCGAGAGGCGGCCCGATGACACCGAGCTGTCCCCGTCGCTGGCCTCCGGTCCCGTGGACCACATGGGCAGGCTGCGGAGCTCCCCCCGGGGGCCTGGCTCCTTGGCGTGGTCAGGGCGGGCCGCCTGGGGAGCCGCCCAGAGGGGGCCTGGCTGCTGGGAGGGCCCCGGTCGCGTCAGGGCAGCCATGAGGTCTTCCTCCCCCGCAAGTGGACGCTGCCCGCCGTCCCTGGGGAGAGAGCGGCACAGGTGCGGTCAGGCCTGGAGGCCCCGCGGGGCTGCTTCCCGCTCTTGTGGCTCAGAACGCCCACGGCCGGGGAAGGAAGAGGGACCGTGCCGGGACATTCTCTCCAATGCCGGCCACAGCCCTTTTAGGTAGGTACGGTGACCAGCCTGCCTTATAGACGGGGAAACTGAGTCTGGGGGAGGCCAGAGTGCCTGCCTGAAAGCACAGGCAGGGCAGTGCCCCCATCCCCGGGGAACCCTGCCCCACAGCCTGGCTCCTCTGCAGAAGGCGTGGCATCCGCCAGCCGGGCCCCGCCAGCTGTGCCCACACACTCGCCCGGCACACAGCGCTACCTGGGCTTGCTGCCGGCCTTCCAGGCGACTGCTCTCCTCGGGGCCCCGGGGGAGAATGGGCCCTGCCGCTGGCTGCCTCTGGGGCATGGCTGGAGTGCGGCCCCCAGGCAGGCGGGCAGCAGGCTCAGGACCGGGGTGGGCATGGCCACAGGGCCGGCCGAGGTGGTGAGCAGGCGCCAGGCGAGCCCCGTCACCACCTGCCCTGGGTCTGGTGGTGCCTTCACATGGCAGCCTCGAAGTCCACAGCCCGGCCTCCGTCCCCGCTTGGGACGGGCTGGCCGCTGCCCGGCTCCGGATGACGGCCCGTGCCGGTCCCCTGGGCCACGATGGAAACCCTCACGTTGGTCATTGAAACTGGGTGGGCACAGTGGGCTGCCGGGCACTGGGCTGGCAACGGCTGGGGGCCTCCCCAGTGATCTGCCTCTCCGTGCAGGAGGCAGAGTTCCAGCGGGCCCGTGACAGCATAATCACCCTGTCACTCAGCGACAGGGCCTGGGCCTCCAGCTCCCGCTGGGCCCCAGCTGCACCCACCCCAGTGCTGCCGGGGCCAGCGTGGGCGCCGTGCGGGCTGGGGGCAGGCAAGGTCCAGGTTGGCAGGGCCAGGCCCGGACGTGGGGATATTCTGGCACAGCCTCCAGCCCCAGGCCCCAGACCCCACCTGGTGGCCCCGACAGACGGGACCTCTGGGGCAAAGGGCCCCGGCCGGCACCACCCGGCTCTGCCACAGCCACCTGGCCGGGCTCACCCAGTCCTCTGGGGATGTCACCTGGTGTGGCTGAAATGGGACAGATCCCACCTGTGTGTGTCTTGATGATGTTTGCAAAAGAGCAGCCCCTGGAAAGCCAACCCCACGGGAGCAGGAAAGGCCCCCCGGGGCCTGGAAAGGTTTAGGCCTTTCTGGACCCTTCTAGCACCTGCTGCAGGGGATGAGCATGCTCCTGCAACGAGACTCAGCCTGCTACACCCTGGGTGGCACAGGGAGCTTGGGGGACCTGTGGGGGTGACCATCATATCCCCGAAACCACCCCGGGACCCAGACAACTACCGTGTTTCCCCGAAAATAAGACCTACCCATAAAATAAGCCCTAGCAGGATGTCTGAGCATTTGTGCAATAGAAGCCCTACCCTGAAAATAAGCCCTAGTGACGGGCGTGGCTACGCAGCGCATCTGCACAACCCACGCATTTCGTCTCGGAGGAGGAAAGAAGACGAGCAGCCCTTCTCATCCGCCCCATCGTGACAGGGACTATCCCAGAGGTGACCGTAAAGGAGCGGGCAGCCCCACCCACAAGGTCGGCTCCCCGTGTCAGGTTCTGGCCATCCTGTGCGTGCTGCGAGCTGAGGCTTTGAGGGGAAAATAACACATGCCCTGAAAATAAGCCCTAGGGTGTCTTCTTGAGGAAAAATAAATATAAGACCCTGTCTTACTTTCGGGGAAACACGGTGCCAGCGGACCTCCCGCCTCCTGCCATTCCCACGGCCTCTCTGCACAGGAAGAGCCTCTGCGGCCAGTGGGAGAATAGAAGCCCCTCCCTGCAGCCCCAGGGCCGCCCCTGCCCTCCTGCCGGCCCCTCCTTCCCGCCAGGCCCCCAGGAGCTCCCCAGGAGCCGAGAGGAGCCGGGTGCCAAGAAGCTCCTCCTAACAGACGGCCTGGCGGTTCTTTTTCCCATCAGCAGGAAAACAGTCCAAGCACTACACTGACGCCCCCAGACAGCTGGAGACCGATCCTCCGGGAAGAAGCTGCCGCGTAAACACCACGGAGCCACCGGATGAGACGCTTCACTGTCTATAAAAGGAAAATTGTGAAAACAAATGCCTGGTGAATGGGGGGTGAAACCCCACGAGCAGAGCCGCCACGGCGCCCCGCGAGCTGCTCCACCCGGCCAACCCCCTTCCCCTCCTCCCTGCCCCACGGCGCAGCCCAGCAAGCCCCCGCCTTCCCCGCTGGCCGGGTCACCGAGAGGCTTCCAGACGTACAGGAGACTCACGCCGGCTCCCAAAGGCAGGGTCCTCCCCCTGCCCCGGGCCCTCTGCTGACGTCAGTCCCAGGCACGGCCAGGGACCTGCACACTGTCCTACCCCCGCCCGGCCCGGACTCTCCCTGCCAGGAGGCGGGCCTTTGAGCTGGGTCTGCAGCCGCATGGCCAGGAGCAGCAAAGCTCTGAGAAGCCACCAGGCAGAGGCCACAGCCCGGGTCAGGGCGCGTCCCCACGAGGGCCTGGCCTGCTCTTGTCCCCAGCACCTGGGCCAACCCGGAGCCCTGCACCTCTGCTCCCGGCCCCTCGGCGACCTCTCAGCTCCCTCCACCTCTGTCCACTGTGCTCCCGCCTGGCTCCCTGGGGCACGGGCGGCCCCCTCCTGGGACGCTCCTGTCCGCACCCCTAGCCTGCCTGTCTGGGAGCAGGGTCCCTAACACTCTGGCCGAGTGACTGGCGCCCCAGCGCTGCTCCCACCCTCAGCCCTCCCTGCCAGGTCCCCGCCTGCCCCCCACAAGGCCGGGACCCCCAGGGCTGGGAGGTCGCCTTGCTGGGCTGGCGTGCAGACGCTTGCCCTACGGGAGCACTTACAGAGCCCCCCGAGAGCTAGGCGTTGCTAAGCACCTGGTGACTTTTCTCTCTTGCCCCATCCTCTGACCACCTGGGAGAGAAGTCCAGCTGCAACTTCACTTTATGGGGCGCGAGAGGCACGGCCTAAGTCACATGTCCAGGGTCCCGGCAAGGCCAGTTGGGGGACACCAGACCAATTCCACGGCCTCCCAGCCCCTGGGGCCAGGAAAGAACAGCGGCCCCCACTGGGGGTCCCCAGCGCTGGTGGAGCTGCCACATGGGGGGGGCACTTCTTGGCAGGGAGGGGCCGGGATAGAGGCCACCAGGACGGCCACACGTCTTGCCCTGCACAGCGGACGGCAGGCACAGCGGTCGAGAGCCCGTGCCCCCCCCAGACACACCGGGAGTCCACGGCGACAGGGGCGCATGGCACAGCCCCCCTGCGCAGGAGCTCGCTGCTCCGTGGGAGAGCAGGATGGGAGCCCGGCGGGGCTCTGGGGTCAGGACCCAGGGTACCAGGCGCTCGCCCCGGCCGGGGTGCGGAGTGAGAAGGAAGCTGGGCAACGAGGGGCCTCTGTCCTCATCCCCTGCCAGAACCCAGGCCCCGTCCGCTGCACGGCTCTGCGACACACCTCGCAGGTGCAGCCTGCAGGTGGCGGCTCACCGCGGCATCGGGGCCACGGGAGGCGGCCCGCCACCCCCGCAGCCCGCCACGTTGGCGCTCCAGCCCTGGCATATGCCGCTCGCTGCTGCAGTCTGGCTGCGGGGGGTGGCTGGTGGCGGGAGTGGGGGCTTCCTTCTGGAGCTGGCAGCAGCCCTGCTCTAATTAGGGACGCTGTTTACTTCTCACCGCCTCACGCTGGAAAAGCAAACGCTGGGCAGGCCCGGGCAGGCTCGTGACGGGGAGGCGGGCCCGGCACGCCCACCGCCTGCTGGGCCCAGGGCTGGCGTTGGGCCGCAGAGCGCCGCGGCAACGGCTGCTGGGCACGCACGGCCTGGACGTCGGCATGGCAGCCGACCGCCCCTCCTCAGCCCAGCCCTGGGCGCCAGGCAGCGGCCCCGCATGCCAGGTAGAGGCTGCGGCTGCCCACGGCCACGTCTGCCCACGGCCACGCCTTCCCACGGCCACGCCTGCCCACGGCCACGCCCTGGGGCCACCGGCAGCAGGTGCCCAGGAAAGGCAGCGGGGGTGGCGCTCCCGACAGAGCACTGGCCGCCCCCCCAGAGGCCGACCCAGGCGGGTCACACCTGCAGGGACGCCTTGCACACACACGACCAGCACACCTGGGCACCGTGGGCCCTGCACACCTGAAAGCACACGCCTCCCCTGTGGGACACAACACACACAGCACATGCTATACACAGCACACGCCTCCCCTGTGGGACACAACATACACAGCGCATGCTATACACAGCACACGCCTCCCCTGTGGGACACAACACACAGCGCATGCTATACACAGCACACGCCTCCCCTGTGGGACACAACACACACAGCACATGCTATACACAGCACACAGCACACACCACCCGTAATGCACGGCACAAATAACACACAACACACATGACACACAGCACACGCCACACACAGCACACAACACAACACACATAATACAACACAGAACACACAGAACACAAAAAACACAGATAGCACATATAACATATCACACACATAACCATAAAACACACAAACCACAAAGATAACACACAATGCACATAACACACATCACATATAATATACAACTCATACCACACAACACGCACCATACACAGAACACACAAAACACAGAACACACATAACACAACATGTGTAACATAATACACACAACACATAACATATAACACAGAGAATACACATAACACATAACACATAAACCACACCGATAACACACAACACAATACACATAACACGATACATAATGCACAGCACATACACAACACACACCATGCAGATAACACAGAAAACACACAGGACACACAATACAGAAAACAACACATGTAACACATAATACACACAACACATAACATATAACACAACACAGAATACACATAACACACAAAACACAGAGATAACACATAACACACACATAACACACACATAACCCACAAAACACACAAGCCCCACAGAGAACACACAATAGACAATGCCCATAACACACAACACACATAATGCACAAACACATATACATAACACACACCATACACACAACACAGAGAACACACAATGCACACACACTCCCCACACCAGGTCTGCAGCGTGGTCAGCCCGCCCAGTGTCCGAGTCAGGGGTCCTGTCCCTCCGGCCTCGGCTACGCCGTACGGTGCCCAGGGAGGCCGGCGGGTGCCGGGAGGCCGGTCAGGCCCGGGGACTCGGGGCCACACGGAGGGGCCGGTGCGAGGGCGGGGCCAGGTGACACGAGGCCACTGCTGGGGAGACGCTGGGAGGAGGGTGCCGCGGGGGGCTCGGTGGCGGTGGGAGGAGGCCGGGAGGAACCACCGGCTGGTGGCTCTGCCCTCCGAGGAGCCGAGTGCGGGAAGGAGGTCACCGTGGCGGCACCCCAACATCTTGGCGCCCCGCAAGCCCATCTGCTGACAACCAGGAATCGTGACCCGCAACCCGCACAGGAGGCGCCGTCCACGCTCGCCACGGACAGACAGAGACGTGCCCACGAGGAGTGGGCGGCAGGACCCTGCAGACAGGCCCGTCCAGCACAGGGCCCAGGCCTGCCACCTCCCGTCCCCACCGCCAGGCCTGGGCAGCCTCCTCCGAGGCCACAGTCGGCCGCAGCCGGCCGCTGCACACGGCGCCCGGCGCCCCACGCTGCCGGCCGGGGACGGCAGCGTCTCCCGAGCCGGCCACTGCTCGGGGTAGCAGGCCCTGTGTCCACGCGCTGCCCGGCGGCCCTGCGTTCCTTACGACTGCCCACGAGGAGGCACTGCCACGGCACACAACACAGACCCTTCCTCAGCACCTCCCGAGCCAGGAGCCCGGGGCAGCCACCCCAGGAAAGGAGCCAGTGGACAGACACCCCCTCCTCAGGCACCAGAACCTCCCTCAGGGGCTCTGAAGGGCCCAGCGGCGGCCACAGCTCTGGGCCGCCTCCCGCCAGCTGCCAACGTCTAACTCACACTGCCCAGCCGGAACCTTCCAGCAGGACAGGCCCAGGGAGGCCAGGCCGTTTGCCCATGAGGGTCGGCTGGGGGTGTCCATGCTGAGCTGGCCCTCCTGGCTGGGGTGGCCTCCCCCTGTGCCCTGGTCAGGGGGATGGACTTGCCAGGTGGGGCCAAATGCAGAACCAGGCATGGGTGCTGCCAGGGCCTAGCGGTGTTTACCCCCATTTTACAGATGAAGAAACTGAGACCATTTGTCAGGTGGCAATGTAGCTCCAGGGCCCCTCAGTAGGACCTGAGCCCAGAGGCAGTGCTGCCCGGTGGGTAGGGAGGGGGAATTCCACTCAATGGGCCACCTGGCTTCCTGCCGAGGAGCCCCAAGGCCTCAGTGGGAGCCCCTAGATGGGAAGGACCCCCTCCCCAGGGGAGGTGGCCAGAGGAGGGGTGGCTATTCT